GACTTAACGAAGGAACTCCTGGAGAACATCAGGCTCTGCTGGCAAGAAGGGAACACACCAAAGGATTGGAAAATTGTAAGAATTTACCCTATACACAAGGCTGGGGATGGAAACCAGGCAAAAAACTACCGGGGCATATCACTTCTCGACCTCGAGTATAAAGTGTTAACCCAGATAGTGGCGTCCAGGATCACATCATGGGCCGGAAAAGGAAAGAAGCTCAGGGAAAGCCAAGCAGGCTTCAGACCGGGACGAGGGACCATGTTTTCACCCCAAACCCACTAATAGAGAATAGACTAAGGAGGTAGGGCGGGAAATTGTATACCTGCTTGGTCGACTTCAGAGCAGCATTCGACCTGGTAGGTATCACCTCTATTCATTACGGTCGTGTAATGTTACGACACATTTCATTACAAAAAGACATTACGGGGACAATTCATTATAGCATTTTTCATCATATGGACAATTCATTACGGAAGTTATTACTATTGCGGGATTCATCAATTGACATATAAATTCGAGGCTGTTTGTATTTTCTTCTCATTTGAAAGTAAACATGATGATTTACTTTGTTGGTGCGTTGTTTATTTCTGTGTATTTCCTTTGAATAGAAATTCATGGTGGGGGGTGAGGTATCTGCGATAAATCGCACTGGACTCATTTACCTAGCCAAGTGTCATTTATCGCACGGATTCAGTGTTGTGCGGTTGTCGAAATGCCTCTAGATCTTGTATTGAGCCAGAGGGGCAAGAAATTGTTGTACCATAAGGATGTTTTGTTTAATAAGTTGCGTGAGCATCCTGTGACTAAACTGGATTTATGACGATGCGTGGATTACACGACTCCTCATCATTGTAATACTCTTGCTCGTATTAAATCATCTCAAGAAAATGGTAAGCGATGGCTCCGTGTAAGAGTAAGAAGTACATCGATTATGATGCCCGGCTTTTTAGAGTCATTATGGAGTGGAGCGAAGATGCCGATATCGTTGAGTATTTGCGTGGAGTTGCTCATAGTATTCAGCCGTGATTTTTGATAAGAACGATGCATTAAATTCAAATTGTGCTGATGGAAATATGATGATGAATCATTGTTGTGGTGAAATCTGTTGTAATGCAATGTTCCTGTAATGAAATGTGCTGTAATAAATTGTGCCGCAATTAAATGGTATAATGAATTGTGCCGTAATGATTAGAGCTACAATCGACCTGGTAGATAGAAAGAAGCTCATAAAGAAGTTGGAGAATATTGACATTAAGGGGAAGATCCTCAAACTAATTGAAGGAATCTATATGGAGACACAGAACGAAATAATTATGGGACAAAGGACCCTGGACAGCTTCAGGACTGGGAAAGGCGTGCGGCAGGGTTGCCCACTAAGCCCAATTCTCTTCTGCATCTTCCTGGATGACATCGATGATAGGTGGGAGAAGAGAAATCTGGGAGGCACGGTAATAGGTAAGACTAAGATTTACGCGCTTAAATTTGCAGACGACATAGCGCTGTTGGCAGAGACAGCGGAGGGCCTGATGGGGATGATCAGAGCCACGGAAAGATACGCACGCGACAATGAAATGGAGATCAACGTGGCCAAAACAAAAGTCATGGTCTTTAGGAACGGAGGGAAGAGAAAAAGGGATGAGAAATGGTATGTTTTTGAGAAGGAGGTGGAAACAGTTAACTCCTTCAAATAGCTGAGGTTCTGGTTCACCGCCAGGAATTCATATGAGTTGCCTCTTAAAGAAAGGGCAGGCAAGGCGCAGAGGTCAGTCAACTCGTGCTGGGGACTAGTGAAGAGGATGGGGATCAACTCCTTAAGAGGTAGACTGTACTTTTATGACACATTGGCTAAGGCGGCCTGCTTATACAGAATTGAGATCTGGGGTTGGAAGAGGTACGCGACCACTGAGAGGCTACAGGCAAGATTGGTGGAAATGGCGTTAGGGATAAACGCCAATACGCCAGATTATATCTGGAAGCTGGAAGCTGGAAGGAGGAGCGTGGAAGTGGAGGCCCTCAGGAGAGGAAATAAATATCTGCTGCAAACACTTCAGATGTCGGAAGACAGATGACCGAGGAGGTGCCTGAAGGAGATCCTCCGGAACGCAATGAATGGGAACCCGGACAGATGGGGTGAATCCATGATCAAAGCATTCGAAAAAACTGGCGATGGTGTTACCATTCGACAGATCTGGGGACAGTTGGACAGGAATGACAGATAAGAACCATGGGACGACGTAGAAGAGAAATTGAAAAGCAACATCAAAATACTCACGGAACAGGACATCCAAAAGTGCTCGACAAGTGCAGATGCCTTACAATACTGCGCGCGATGCAGGTCTATGAAGGAGACCCCGGAACAAGGAAGTTATTGGAAAGACAGAAAGATCCCGGGAAGGGACAAAGAGCAGCGGGTACGATTGAGATGCGGCAGTGTGGGGAAGAACAAAAGGCAAGGCTACAAAGATTCCCGATGTAGGACCTACAGAATAGAAGAAGAAACATTGCAACATATCTTCCGATGCTTGGCCGTGAGAGATCGAGTTGACACAGAGGCGGTGGGCCCCATGGAGACATTTTGAAATAAGCAGTGTCCCATCCGGGGACCAAAATGGAAATCCTTGAGTAACCAAGAGTTAGAGTGAAAGGAAGGTTAGGAGAGCGATATCTAGTGCCAGCTGAAGAAGCTGAGCAAGAGATGAGAGTGACATCGAGCGGCGGAAGAAGTGAACCGCACGTGAAGTAAATAGACCAATCAAATAATGCCAAGAGGCGTGGTTTGGGTGAAACCATGCTGCCGAACATTATAGAGAGGCTGTTGATAACCCGTCGCCTCATCTAGAAACCCGCCCCGCGGTGTTTGGAGAAAAAGGGCCAACGTACCAGCGTTCCAACTGGGCTATTCTAGCGGCGCTATCGACTTAGACTAGGGACCAACGGCTAGGTGACAGGACTACCGCCCCCTCGATTGCCATCGAGCTGACTGGTGGTGGTAGCGTAACGGATGACCCACCGCCGCTGAGACGTTCAGACTAGGGGGAGAAGGCCTTAGGAGATTTCGGGACAGTCGGTGACAGACGCTGAAGTCGAGCGGATGAATTTTCCGGCTACTCGACACAGTCGTGAGTGGCATTAATCCATAATGGATTATGGGGGAACGTTGTCTGGACTAGATCTGAGACAGCGAGAGAGCGGGACGCATTAGCGTTCCACAAATAGAACGCTGGATTTTGTTGGTCACGGAGCATACATTTATTTCACGTTTCCAGGGATCCATATCCTCGGACGAAAGAAGTGGTGTTGGCGTGGATCTATGGGTCGGGAGTTTGGCCGACTCCTAGAGGCCCGATCGCACGGGCAGGAGTAATTCCGGATGTTGGCCCGCGATGATATTGGTTTTACCGAGCATTGAGGATGAGTTAGGGTGGGTACAGGTGGGTGAGAAGGTCTCCGGATACCTGTGTCGCATGTGCCTCTCAATGTTCGGCGCCCTGAGGGGTGATAAGGATTCGCAGGTAATCGTCGACTTCTCCAAAGTCGAGCCACTCTGGAGAGAGAAAGAACGCGTCAGAGGAATGGGAACTTCTCGACGAAGGAAACAAGGAGACATGTCTGCTGGAAGATACGCTTTATCGGAATCTCTCGGTTGAAAAGACGGAGAGCGATTGAGTGAATTACTCCTAGTATGGTGGACATCGCCCACTCTACCGTTTCACGCTGATCCTGGCTCGGCATTGTTAGTCGCGCCACGAGAAGTCCTCGGAGTAGACGAGTTTGCCTCCGAGGCCGGTTTTCCGTTGGACTTTCCGTGAAAGTCCAGCTGGCGCCCAACATATTTGAGCGATAGAGAAGACACCAAACTAGTTTGGGATCACTGCTGGTGAAGCACCAGCAAAAATCCCTTACAAAATAGCGCCCAACGTGGGGACACGCCAAAAAGGAGTAAGAGAAAACCTCCGAAATGAGGAGAAGAAATCATCCTAGTGGTGATCCAGGGTAGATTTTTACTTCTCCTCCGAAAGGAAAATGATTATCCGAGGGATAATTCGGCGAAAAATTAACAGGAATTTTTTTTCCCGAGAGTGACGGATTTTCTTTTGGGAAAAGCGAAGTAAATCTGAAAGTGCGAAATTTCATTGCGAGATGTTCTCTGAAAGTGAAGGTATTATTCTCTCATTCACCCGGGGAGGTCGGCCTTGGCTTGACGGGATAATTTTTCTCCGCAGAGAAATGAGAGTGTCGATTTTTCAAATCCGAGAGAGTCCTTCCGGTTGCGCTGAGCGCTGTTTTCCCTATTCACCCGGGGGAGAATGGTCTCAGGGCCGAAAAATGACTCTTTCTCAGTGGCAAAATCCGAAAAATTGAGGCAAGCGGCATAAAAATCCGTAAAAAGAAAAAGAATTTTCGTCCTCGAGAAGTGTCGTTAGTCTGGTAGGAAAATAAACTACCTCAATTTCCATATGGGAGAGGGGTTTTACCGATGACATGAGCACGGTTTCTTCATTAACTCGAGGATAACATTCTCAGGCGGGGAAAAAGACACTTTTCCATTGAAAAAAGTCGAAAAGCACGTTGAAAACAAGAAGAAATGCGATAAACTGTATTACCGACCGGTTGGTACAACAGTCATGCATCAGGGAGTGACGTTACCGACCGACGGTTTTCGGAAGTACAGATTCCGCCCGCACGGGCGCGCCATTTGACGGATCAAGTGAAGGGGCGAGTGATTAAATACCTTTGATTGACAGGTCATCTCAAGTATTTAAAAGAATGCGCCTATATGCACATATGGATCGAATGTCACCAGGGGGGACCACATGTGGCGATCTATTTGATTGAGATGCACCCTTAATCTCCTACCTTCGACTTTCTCGAGTCCGGTGTACTGACCACGAGGCGAGCTCTTTTCTCTTTTGGACGTCACCCTGTACGGACGGAAGCGGTTATGTCTCTCTTGTGGAACAGTTTGCGGTTGACGTGTTTTCACGAAACCCCGAGCAATGGCGAAGGAGGAAATTCTCGAGCAGCTGGTGCAGAAGGTCGTAACTACGGCCGAGGAAACCCAAGGCAGTGCAATCTGTCGAAGGAGGGAAGAAAATTGGATCTGAGTCGCTGCAAAGCGACGAAGATTTAATAATACCGGCATTAATACACTTGCATATTCCAGAGGTGGACATTACGGAGATGGAGCTTGACTCCATGCAGCAGCTGCTGGACGCCGGCGAGGACGATCTGATAGACGTGGCCATGACGGAGGATGTGACCACCACTGTGGTGATCCCACCTCCTCCTGAGATACCCACTCCGGAGGAAACGAGGGGGACGGAAGAGTCCCCTCGAGAGATAGCTTCCGAGAGGGAGGAAGGAAAGATGGCGGAGGAGCTCGTTTCCCCCGAAGAAGCGAACGCCACTCTGGCGAAGATTTTGGCTGAGGCCCTCGTAAAGACCCCTCAGCTCCTCGCCAGGACGGCCGAGCAAATTCTTCCCCTGGCCAATCCGGCCCCTCGGCATCGACGGAAATTCCGAAGATGTCGGAGAACAAGGGAGCTAAGGGGAAAGAGAAGAAGAGGGGAAAGGGACTCCAACGTCCGATTAACCCCGACTCCTTGGAAAAGGAGAGAGAGATGCGCCTGATATTGCTGCAGCACGGTGGCGAGGGGCAAGCGGGAGTCTCCTCGGGAACAAGGATCCTGGAGAGGAAGATGCCTGGGGACAATGAGATTGCCACCAGATCATCTCAGCTCGACGGAGATCCTGATTGGGCGGAGTACCCCAAGATGAAGAGACGCCGTCCCACGTTTGTACCAGCAAAGCTTTGCCGGAATTGTAGAAAACCTGGGCACGGCGGAAAAAACTGCCCTGAACCTCTCACCACCTACTGTTGGAGGTGCGGACGACCGGGGAGGGAGACCAGGGACTGCATCCCGTGCCAGGAGGAGAAGAAGGCAAGAGATCCCTGAATCCCAAAGTTCGGCCGTAATGTCACTAGGGACGTCTTAAAAGCCATGGAGGCAGAAACAAAACGGAGATGAGCGGAGACAGCGCCGCCTTCGGCCCCACCTACCCCGAAGAGTACCCCGGCCGCGGCACCAAGGTCACCCATGGGGCAGAAGAGGTCTCCGGAAGCCGGACTGAGGAGAAAAACGATGAGGAATCTGCGTCGCAAGGCGCAGAAACTCACTCTGAAGCACTAGGAGAGGAGAGTTGGCGCCCCAGCTGGTGAGGAGAAGGCCAGAACTACCTGAAGCAGGTGGAGAAGGTCCCGACAGCCGAGACTTTTTTTTAATGCTTTTTTTTGCCCAAATATTTTTTTTTGTTGCTTATTGCAGGCTGAGAAGTAGGGAGAAAAGTGGTCTGAAAAGACCACAAGATTCCCAATAAACATCCTGGGAAAGAATGAGGAAAAACTCGCCAGTGGTCTGAAAAGATCACAGAATCGTGAAAAGGGAGCTGAACGGGCTGAACAGTCCAGAAGGTGACAGTTAGGGGCGAAAGCCCCACACAAACAACCCGAAACATGCACGTGAGTAGTATTAAGTGTTGTCTGATATTAATTCCAACTTTCCCCACCAGGTGGCGCTGAAGTCGCTGTTCGTTTGTTGGCGGGGCGCTGGGGTGGTGAGTGGGGGAAGAGGTGGCGCGGTAGAGAGGAAGTATAGCACCCTCCGAATAATAACTAATTTTATAGCCACAGTACTGTTAATCTATAAAACCGAACAATAAAATTGATGAAATAAACGCGCGGAAACCATATAGAGGCAAACCAAAAATCTACGAATTATTACGAATAATTCCCGTGAGGGAGGGGGGAACAGTCACTGTGAACGTCGTGCTCTCGGCCCAGTGAAATCACTTCTTAATCCGTTACGATAAGAGTCATGTTACTATTCCAATTCGCATGTATTTGCGAGAGTGAGAGTGAAATATCAGAATATCTCAGGAATAAATACATATTAAAAGTGAATTTTTATGTGAACAATGCGGGATAATGTTGAGTTTAGACAATTCTAAAGGATTATACAGGTGTAGAAACAAATTCAAAGTTCTAAGACCTCATAAAAAAACATTCATACAACAATGTGATAATTCAGTGAGCCAAAGAGATGGTACGATTTTTGCGGGGTTCTAGACTCCCACTAGGCAAATTATGTTCATTGTTTGAAATATATGTTTGTGTCAACAAAGTTAAACGTAAATTCCTAAATAAACATTTACAAATTTCTTAAAAAATCTATTAATAAATATACCAAAATCATTGAAATAGTGGTTGCTCGCTGGGCGAGCGCTGGGCTAGGAGAGATCCCACGCGTAAATACAATAGAGGCAGATACATCAAAGGAGTATGGGTGTTTGGGGGTATCGAGAGAAACACAAAGAAGACGTTTATTGTACCTGTTGCCAGGCGTGATTTCTACACCTTGAAGAAGAATATAGTCAAGTATATTAGAACAACAACTTTGGTTATGACCAACTGTTGGCGAAGGTATTCTGGACTTAACAACCACAGATAATACCATCAAACCGTCAGCCACAGGAAAGGATTCATAAACAAAAAAACAGGGGCACATACACAACAAATTGAAAGAGTGTGGAGAGACCTTAAAGACGCCATCCCCAGGTATGGAATTACCAGACACAATATACATAGAAAGATCTCCATTTTTGTTTTGTCGAGATGAAGATTGAAGATGAAGTTCGAATTGAAGCTCTGCCACACAATTTCGATGTTTTCTCCTTAATTATTTTGAGGTTTTCCGATTTATCAGTCGCTCGCGGGGGGCTCAGGGGGGTGTCTCTGTGGATGTTAGTGCTTGAGGTGTACTCCGGGATAAATAATGTTGGGTTTGAGGAATTGAGAAAACGATGGAATATGTTCAGCATATCCATAATTGACATTAAAGAACTTTAATGAAATTTATAGTGAAAAAATATGTATTAAGACATTCACATAAATTTTAGACATTCAAATTTATAATTATTAATATGATCATAGGAGGATGATCGGAGGTCTCAATTCTATCGAATTGTCCATTGTCGTTAGGGATTGTCCATTGTCGGCGTGGGAGTCGCCGCGCCACCACGTCCCCGACGTGACTCCTGGGTAACGCTGAGAGTGGCTGCATTCGCGGGGGTGTCGTTTCGGGTCCTTCTGGGGGTTTATGGTGAATTTGAAGGAATCGAAACAATTTTTCAACTCCATACTGAGTATTCTTCATGTCTGAGCCTATGCGAGTAACGTGAAGATGTGAAATTTATCAAATAAATTAATATTAAACAAAATAATGGGTGTATTACCCATCTAATATAAAGGGTGCTATACTACCCATCTACCGGTGGCGCTGGTGTCTGAGGAGGATGGTGAGTGGGGGTGGCGGGAGGTAAGACGGGGTGGTGGGCATTAAGGCGGTGGCGGGCAGTAAGGGGGCGACGGGCGCTAAGGGGATGGTGGGTGGAAAGAGGGCGGTGGGTAGAAAGAGGGGTGGGGTGGTAAAGGCGGAAATCGTAAAATATTCGAGAACAAGTTCCAAGTGACTATGAACGTGGAGGGGGTAGCGTCTGGCGGGCCTTAGGTAAACACAGCTGCCATTCGCAGCACCTGTCCGGAAGGGTCTGGTGTTAGGAATGCGTTATCAATAGACAATGAAACCCTTGTACAAATTTTACATTTTCTACAGTTTTATTCAACATTTTGGTTACATTTTGTGTCAAGGATGAGTTACCTAACATTTCATTGAAAAGATCGGGTATGCAATAATAATAATAATGAATGAAAAGAGCATCTAACCATTCCATTCCTAATACATATAAAGGGCCTACAGTTGATGAGACTAGACATATCATTATAATTAGAATGTATACAACGGAGGGTGTCTCCTCATCTTAAGGATCGTCTTCGGTATTACCGATTTCAATATCTATATTTTTGCGGTTGATCAGAAGGCGCGTAGCGCTGGTCAGTGCGATGGCTATGAGTAAAATCCAATAAATACCTCCTATGGTGCTCAATAGTTTCGGCACAACGACTACGAAATGTAGGTAAACCTAAGGTTTGGGCCGTGCTCGGTCTTCTTTTAAAAATGAATTTCATCTCTCTAGAGTTACAATACCCGTTCTATCAATTTGATATGCAAAAGTTTCCAAAAAATATTGAAAATTCCTTTACGAATAAGGGTTTTAGTGTCGATGTTTTGAGTGTCGGCGTCGTTGAACTTGTCATCAGTCTCGACTCTTGAACACTGACGCGTTGTATTGTCCTTCCACTTCTTATGAATTAAATGATTACGTATATTTATAACTGTTTGTGAAGCGCACTTATACATCTGAGTATCCATCTTGTTTTTCATGGCATGGAAGTAACACACAGTTTTTTCTTCATTCTGCCGACATGTATTGTTTTTGAAATCCGTCTCTGTACCCAAATTTATGGTCTCTCTTGCAGATAAGATCTGGAGGTATACAGCTTCCTCACCATCAATAGTGAAAATACGGCGAGCATTTGTACAGCTCACTAATATTATGTAAAGCATCCCGCACTTCTGTATCCCCATCATGCCACTCGGTTCCGTGATTGTTGGTTGTGAGTCTATTGTTCGTCTCACTCCAGCAGGCAGAAAGGTCTAAGTACGGGTAAGATGCATTCAAAATCCAGTGCGAAAGAAATACTCCCTCAGCAATAGCAATTTCTTTTGGCAAGAATTTCCCATTTTTGCCACGCAAATCTTGGATAACGAAAGTAACATCCATGTTGATGCGATCACCACAAGAGAATTTTTTATAATGAAGAAGCCGATAGGTGGATAAAGTAATATATCTGAAGACCATGGCGGGGGGAAATTGAGGTGTGGGAAATATATTAGTATCATTTTAATGTTTCATTTCAATTTATTCTTCATCCACAGCGAAAAAGTTACAGATTTTTGTGTTTCTGCAGCTACTCGGTTTCTATTTTTTTCCGCATCAATTGCCAAGCTTAATTCTTGAACAATTTCGCCGGTGTATAACGTGAGAATTTGTCCAAGGAAATCGAAAAGATTTTCAACATTCACATTTTTATATGCAAAATTGTGACGAGTTATGTCAAACAACTGTTCAAAATATTTGAAAATGGTGTTTGTTATGATATCATGCGACAACCACTTTTTTCTATTACACTCTATGATTTCCATCCACAAAAGAGTAGTCAAGTTGACCACAACACCTTGCTTATAGGTCTCTCCAGGTATATTCTCCAAATACTGCGTACGTTGAGTAGTCCAGTTCTTCCGCCATGATACAGGGCGAATCGTGCTATTCAACACGTAGATATCCGTCTTGGCCCCAAGATCAGAGATGAGGCTTGCTCTATAGCCGCAACTTGAAAGGGTGAAACCAATTTTTTTACCTGGACCACAGGATAGCGATGCGAATTTTTCATCATCCTCCGGTGATTCAGACTCATCAGGGAAATACTGAAGTATGATTGGTATATGTTCAGCCATGCTGTACCATTCCGAAGGGGTCAGCGTGATCACTATCCGGGAAAATGTAATTATCCGCACCACGGGCGTGAGAGTACCCTTTACGGTCCACAATAAATCAGTGGTCACTTGTTTTGTACGGACTTTATTGATCGACAAAGTATCCACAAGTAATAAAGGTTGATCCGTGAAAATCCCCGCCAGTTTAGTCGTTCCAACATTCTGCTTCTTCACCATGGGAGGCTGGTTTTCTTTGTTTACAGAGTTGTCTTCTGCATTAGATTTACGTTTGGCTCCGACACTTTGCGAGGAGAAACCTTTCAATTTCCCCTCAAACAATGGTAACTCTTGAAGGGATCTATAATACCCCGGAGATATGGTATCATTAATACACGCGTAATCGTCAACCACGGATGAGATGTCTGTTTGGAACATGGTGAGACAAATGTATATGAATATCACGCCATCAGTACTGGTTTTTAATACTCACATACGGTCACGCG